AGCTGCACGGTTCCTGGCAGTCCGTATGTGGCTACTAGGCGGCAGCTGTCAGTAATGGCCACTTTCTGAGAATGGCAATGTCCAGGTTCCAAGAACCTAGGGCCTGGCATGTAGTAGGTGCTCAGAGAATGAGGAATGATTCTGCAGACCGCCCCCCACCACCACCACTTGGCCAGCTATGTCCCCTGCCCTGTCTCTGATGTGGACGATGTCCTAGGGCTGGTTCTTACCCACGGTGGGGTCTCTCAGGAAACCAGGGGCATGCACAGGACCCCTGCCACTCTCCCTGGCCCCTCATTTTCAACCCAACACCCACCACAGGGGAAGGGCTCAGGATTTGTGTTCCTCTTCAGGTCTGTCTGGCTTCCTGGTGGCGCCACCTGGTGGTGTGTCCAGCACCGTGCCCAGCGAGGTCTGCCTCAGAGGGCTGGGGCAGCTCTGGCTTGAGCCCATCTGCCCTTCCCTCATTCAGGGCACCAGCCACCTCCTGTGCATAGACAAGGACCCCAGCCTCACCCATAGGGCAGCAGCCCGGAAGCCCATGTTCCTCTGCCTCCTGTGTAGGCCTGGTGCTGACCTCAGGGGCCGGGTCCCAGGTCCTGGCTGGGTTCACGCTCAGGACGTCCCTAATGACAGATGACCCTTCAGTTGTTCCCAGAAGCTGAGGATGGAGGAAGGGGCTAGGTGATCCTGGATGGGAAACTCAGTGATGGTGGCTGGGCCCGTGTTTGTTCCCCCTGCACTGGCCTTGGGATCCTGCGGCTACCCCCACTGTGGGGGGCTTGGAGCCCCAGGACCAGCCTGGCTTCTTGGTCCCCTCCAGACCAACAGGGAGGTCCAGCCTGGCTCAGAGCTATTTGGGTATAGTCTAGGGGAAGAACAGCAAACGGGAGACTGAGTTCTGAGCCCAGCCCCGGCAGAGACATGCTGTGTGAACGCAGGCTAGGTGCCTCCTCCCTGGGCTGCAGTTTCTGGTAGACAACTTGGTGGGGGGTGTGGGCTGGAGGAACAGTGAGGACCCTTGCAGCCCCCAGACTGGGTTCATGGTGAAAGCCAGGTTCCTGGGCCTCCTGCATCGGAACCTCCTAGACTGGGACCCTGGCATCAGTGTTAAGGGACACTGCAGCAGGGGGTGGAGTGGGGGAGGCAGAAATGGGGGTCTCTGTTACCAGCAGGTGAGGAGACTGTAGGTTTCAGGGACCCCACACCCATCCTTCCACTTCCCAACCTGCATATGAGCCTGGGGGTGGGCGGGTTCTTGTGCTGTGTGTCCATAGGACCCGCTCTGTAGCATCGGCAAGGGAGAGTGGGGAGCTAACACAAGAGACCCCCAGCTGTCCCCAACCCCACAGGCTGGCCCTGTAACTTGTTCAGAGACACTGGCTGGGCTGGGGGTGGCTCTCCCTTGTGGCCCGAGGAGGTATTTTCAGAGTCCCCCTCCCTCTGGAGTTTCCAGCGATAGGATCGAGCCCTGTCTAGTATTTGACCAAATATGGTGGTGTCTCTGGATGAGCCGGGCCCCAGCCGGCTGCTCAGTTATGCCGTGGAAACCTGCCCTGGACAGATTAATCTTGTGACATTCGGGAGTGCCGCTTGCCCCGCGTTCCTTCCCTTGGCGATTCCTGTAAATGGCCAGGACTGGCCCTCAGCAAGCCAGGGCAGGCCGGGCTCTCTGTTCTCAGTGTCCCTCTCCCATTCTCCTCCATGTCCCCTCCCCCATACTGGTTTGCCTGCTCACAGGTTTGCTGGGCTGTCCACTCAGAGAGGTGGGAGACCTTGGCCAGCTGGGCATGTGATTCCAGGAGCTGTGCCCCGGGGGGCTCAGCCTAGACCATGAAGTTGTTACCTGAGTCTGGGAAGCCAAGAGCTCGCCCAGCCAGGAGGGGAGGCTGGGGGCGGGGGGGCGACCGGGGAGAGGCGGCTAAGCGAGAACAGTGCTAGCACTCACGCCAGGTAAGCTCCTGCTGCTGATACTCTGTGACTTTAATATATGATAAACAGGTACGCGTTTATTGAGCACTTACTACTTGCTAGGCAGCAAGCCAGCTATTTAACATGCATAGTCACATTTATTCCTTATAGCAGCCTCCAGAGAGCGATGCCCTGATTCTTCCCACTCTAGAGATGTGGGAACCGAGGCTCAGAGACGTGCCTGGGAGGAAAGGGCCAGGCTGACTCTCGCCCTGGGTGCGAGGGTGCGAGGGAGAAGGACAGGGCCAGCCCTGGGAGAGGAGCCCCTCCAGACGCTGGGTGGGGTGCCGTGTTCGGGAGGCCAGGACTGTTGGCCTCACAGTCCTCCTCATGGATCTGCCCCTCTGCTGGTGTGGACACACAGGCTCAGAAACACGTTCAGAGCAGGGGCCGGGAATGCAGAAATATCCCAAGGAAAACAGTGTGGGCTGGTGGATCTCTGAGCCCCGGGCAGGGACCGGGTACAAGCCCCAGCTGTCACCTCTAACTCACGGTGCAATGCTCGACAAGTCCCTGCTTTGCTCAGGCCTCAGTTTCCCTGCCTGTGAGCTAGAGGGGCGGGGCGTCATGCTCACCTGAGGCTGTGTCCCTGGGAGATGGGGCTTGTGTCCCGCTCCTGGGCAGCTCTCCTGACCACCCGACAGCCCATCCCTCCTCCACCCTCACCCCCTCGCATCCCCAAAGCAAACGAAGCTGATTGTCTTAGCTGGCCCTGTGGGTGCTGGCCGGGCAGCCGGCCGCAGGCCACAGGCGGAGGTGCCACCGGCCAGATCCCCGCCAGACACACAGGGCATTGTCCCTCGGTCAACAGCCCCTGGGCACCTCAGCCGGGCTCCTGGCCTGCCCCCACGCCCCTCACTGCCTGCTGCTGTGCTGGGCCCAGCCAGCCGGGGGGCCCAAGGCTCCCAGCTGATGACGAGCCCACCCACCCACTCCCCCAGCAGCCCCCCGTCGAGCTATAATTGCTCCTCTGCATCCTGCTGCTGCCACTCTCTGGACATCGTCGGCATCCGGGGTTCGCGGCGGCGGCAGCTGCGTCCCGGCGCCCGGCTTGGGGATGGACTGGCCGCACAGCCTGGTACGTGGCGCTTCCCCCACCCCCAGCCCTTTTAGGGCCCGATGTTTTGGGCTTTCTTTCCCATTGATTAATGGCTGCCTCCGTTTGCCTTGGAATCTGCAGAGTTGAGCGCTGCCTCTGTCTGCTACCCCAGGTCTGGGGAGAAACAGAGCTGGGTCTCAGAGCCTGCAGCGGGGCCGGGAGCTCGGGCTCTTGATCCGGGCTCAGCCTGTCCACACTGAAGCCCTTTCAGGCGGGAGGCATCTGGGGCGATCCTGGCAGGCTTGTCCGCGGGGTTTTTCCAGGCTCCTGGGCTCCGGGCTGTGTGACCTTGGATAAGTCCTTCTGTTTTCTCTGTTCCCATCTGGAACGTGAAGGGGTGGCGGGGCTGTGGGTTCCCCAGTGGGTTTCCCACAGAGGGGAGCTGGAGTTCCGTGGCTCTGATGAGAGAGCCTATTGTTATGGAGGCATTTTCTGCCCCAGAATCTAGGGACTTCAGTGGCTTGAATCTCTGGGGGGCATGTTGTGCCAGGAGGGGCTGTGCTGTGACTTGTGTCCCAGGGCCGACTTCCTGGGGAGCCTGGGGCCGTGGGGCCAGGAGGAGCAGGGCGCAGGGCAGCTGTGGAGTCTGGCGGGTGCAGGAAGGAGAGAACCTCATTTAGAGGTTCCAGCTCTGGCCCCCAGCACTGAGAGCCCCTCTCGCTGGGCTTTCCGAAGGTTCTGGGTGCCGCCAGGCCACTGAGCCCCCTCTGTACAGGCTGGCGGGTTGGCTGGAGCTTGTTCTGGCAGTGGTGGGAAGCAGAGGAAGCAGGCAGAGGTTCAGGGTGAGGGTGCGAGGGTCAGGAGTGGTGAAGATGGGGTTCTGATGGGCTTCTTAGCTTGTGACCTGCCCCCTCTCCCCAGCTCTGTCTCACGCCGCTTCCTCCCACCCATGCTACGACATCAGCACAGCTCTTAGCCAGCTCAGGCCTCTTCTCTCACTCTCCCCGCTGCCTGGAAACCTCTGACTCTCTCTGCCCATGCCTGCCTCCCTCCTATCCTACAAATCTCACCCGATGTCTCCCAGTAACTCCCCCCACCCCCCCAAAAAAAGCATTATGGGACTGCTGCCATGTCACAGGCTAAACAGGAGCCCTACTCTCCGCCAGGGCCCCCACCGTCGCGCTGGTGGCTGGTGAGACCTAGCTGTTCGTCTCTCTGTCCTCTGTCTTCCTTTCCTACTCAGTAAGTGTGCACTGAATACCTGAGGGCCCAGCCCCAGCACATGGGGGATCAGAGAGTGCATGACATCTGACACGGCGCTCTCCTGGAGTCTGTGTGTAGTAGGGGACGGACATCTAAACATATCACACACACAAACGGTGAGAACAAAGTCCAGAGGCCTCCTGCGTGATAGCCAAGACATGAGGGCTGGGGAAATTTTTCAGCAGGAGAAGAGAAGAGGCAGAACTCTGCAGGCAGAGGCCTGTGCAAAATCCCTGGGACAGAAAGGAGCAAGAGATTGGGAGAAAGCCAGAGCCGGAGCACAAGTGTGAGAGGCAGCAGGAGGTGTCCCTGGAGTCCCCCAGGGGCAGGGGGAAGGGTGGTAAGCTGGAGGGTGAGTTGGCTGGCAGGTGCCACGGGGCATTTGGGAAGGCCAGGGAGGAGGCTACTGAGCTGTCCTGGGAAATGAGGGTGAAAAACCAGGTGGAAGTGGATGGATTTTAGAGGGTGCCATGTTTTCAGGACTTAGTGATGAGTTGGGTGTGACGGGAAGGAGAGGGAGGTGGCAGTGGTGGCCACTCTGGAGCACTCATGGTGCAGAGCAGGTGTCAGTACCTGTGCAGTGGCTCTGCGGGGCCAGGTCAGGGCATGGCCGGTGAGGGTGGTCCACGCCGAGGCCATTCTCCTTCCCCTTCTCCTCCCTGGACCAGAGTCTTGCCCAGAGAGCACGTTGGCTCTTCTATCTTTGACCTGTGGCCTTGCTCCTCAGGTGTTCCTTCTTACCATCTCCATCTTCCTGGGGCTGGGCCAGCCCAGGAACCCCAAAGGCAAGAGGAAGGGGCCCTGGCGGCCTGGGCCTCAGCAGGTGCCGCAGGACCTGGTGTCGCGGGCAAAGCCATTCGCCCGTATGGAGGAGTACGAGAGGAACCTTGGGGAGATGGTGGCCCAGCTGCGAAACAGCTCTGAGCCGGCCAAGAGGAAGTGTGAGGTCAACCTGCAGCTGTGGCTGTCCAACAAGAGGAGTCTATCTCCCTGGGGCTACAGGTAGGCTGTGCTGGGTAGCATGGGCAGGCTGCCTGCCCCAGTCATTGTAATGGGGAAGACCTTGGATTCAGAGGGCTTGAGTACCTGGGTTTGAATCCTCACAGTGTGGCTTTGGGCATGTGGGTTAGCCTTGCTGAGCTTCTGTGTCCTCAGCTGTCAGGCCGGTCAGTCCTCTGTATCTGCAGATTCAATCAACCTGAGTCCAAAAGTATTTGGGAGGGGTCGGCGCTGTGGCATAGCAGGTTGGGTGGCCAACGCCCGTGATGCCAGCATCCCATGTGGGTGCCGGTTTGTGTCCTGGCCACTCCACTTCCCATCTAGCTCCCTGCTAATGCACTTGGGAAAGCAGCAGAAGATGACTCAAGCGTGAGGGCCCCTGCATCCACATGGGAGACGTGGAAGAGGCCCTGGGCTCCTGGCTTCAGCTTGGCACAGCACTGGCTGTCACAGCCATCTGGGGAGTAAACCAGCAGATGGAAGATCTTTTTATCTGTATGTCTGCCTTTCAAATAATAATAATAAAATAGTATTTGGGAAAAAAATCACATCTGTGATGTAAGTGTGCAGACTTTTTTCCTCCTCATCTCTAAGCAATACAGGATATCAACTATCTACGTAGTACTTACATTGCATTAAGGATTGTAAATCATCTGGACATGACTTCAAGTATACCAGAGGATGTGCACATGTTGTATACAAAAATAATGATTTTTTAAAAAAGATGTAATGGTTTATTTGAAAGAGGTACAAGATAGAGAGAGAGAGAGACAGAGATCCTCCATCCACTGGTTCACTCCCCAGATGGATACAATGGCCAGGATTGAGCCGAGCTAAAGCTAGGAGCTTCATCTGGGTCTCCCACATGGGTGCAGGGGGCCCAAGAACTTGGGCCATCTTCTACTGCTTTCCCAGGCCATTATCAGGGAGTTGGATTAGAAGTAGAACAGCTGGAACACCAACTTTTCCCATATGAGATGCCAGTGACACAGATGGTGACTTTACTTGCTACACTACAATGCCAATAATGCCGTTTTATAGGAGGGACTTGAGCATCTTGGATTTTGGTATCCACAGTGGAGTTCCAGAACCAATCCTTCGTGGATACCAAGGGAAGACTTAGGAGCTGCTTCAGAGCCTGTTGTTGAGCGAGTTGTCCATGCAGAGCGCTGCCCTGTTGTTGGCAGGTCCTGGCTGAAGGGCCTGCAGGCCTTGCCGGGTTGTCACTTCCTTGGAAGTCAGGCTGGCTGTGTCTGCACACATCTGTCACGCTAGCCAGGCACCTTCCTAAGGCCTGCATCAGAATTGCCTAAGGGCACTGTGGCCCCAGCTCCAGAAAGCAAGCGTTGGAAAGCTCAGGAAAGATCTCCAGAGCTGGGCCTCCCTCGCCTTGCTGGGGACCTCGTACAGATGCAAGGGCTGTTTCCCAGGCGTCTGCCTTGCTCACGAGCTCCCAGGCATGAGAAGGCCTTGCTGATGCCATGTGTCCCTAGGTCCAGCTCATCTACCCTTACTTAGCAGATAAGGAAACTGAGGCACAGAGAAGGAAAGTCACAAAGGCAGGCCCTGCCTGCCTGGCTCCAGGAGAGCTCCAGGAGAGCACTGGTCTGTTTTGTTCCTCCGTGAGCCCCCAGAGTCAGGGACAGGATGGCTCCCATGTGAGTGCATGAGAAAGACTTGTTGAATGAATGGAGATGGAGTCAGAATAGAACCAGGACTCCCGATGCCCCTTCCTGTGGAATTTAGGCATCGGTGTGCTCCCATTTTATTTCCCTGATCAGGTTTCCCACCAATATAAGGGACGAGAAGGGCAGGGAAGGCAGGAGGAGGTCTCGGGCACAATCCAGAGTGGAGGTGGCATCCTGCTGGGTGACAGGGGGAAGCAGGCAGTTTGGGGGCCCTGAGCGTGGATAACTGTGCCTGCCGCGAGCTTGGCGCCTCACCCTGCCCAGGGAGCTGATTTACTGCCCTTCCTCCAGTGCAGCAGTCTTGCTCTGGGAATCCAGACTCTGCAGGAAGGGGAGTGGGTGCCAACTTGCCTTTTCCTGACCTTCTTCTACCTTGGCCTCTCTCCTGGTGCCCCCAGCATCAACCACGACCCCAGTCGCATTCCCGCAGACCTGCCGGAGGCCCAGTGCCTGTGTCTGGGCTGCGTGAACCCCTTCACCATGCAGGAGGACCGCAGCATGGTGAGTGTGCCCGTGTTCAGCCAGGTTCCCGTGCGTCGCCGCCTCTGCCCACCGCCGCCACGCACCGGGCCCTGCCGCCAGCGCGCCGTCATGGAGACCATCGCCGTGGGCTGCACCTGCATCTTCTGAACCACCTGGGCCTGGCACCTGGCCCGCAGCCCTGTACCCCCCCTGCCAAGGAAGGCTGGTAAAAAGTAAACACTGTCTTTTATAAAGCAAGACTTTGGGACTGCTACTTGTGGCTCCCAAGCCAGCACCTGCACGGGGGTGGGAGGTCCCTGGATGGGGGTGGGATGTCCCTGAAGGGGACTGGATGTTCCATCACTCTGAGTTCTCCAGCACAGAGACAGGCTGCGTTCATTTCTACCATTTAGGCCAGGCACATATTTCCTTTACTCTGGGTTTACAAGCCTATGCTTCGTCCATGTCATCATAACTTGCTTGGTATCAGTCAACACAGGCATTAACAAGAGCTGGGTCTACCCAGTCAGGTCCCAGGCCTTCGGAAACGAGCACTTTGAAAGTGGTGAGCTCTCAGTTTCCATGTCGAGTTGAAGTTGAGTCTCTCGAGGATATCATAGAGCAGATCTCTGCCGTGGCTGCAGGAGATGATCCTCCCAGTCTCTGTCAGCCCTGGGATTCTCTGTAGTTGGACTTCGACCCAAAGAAAGGCCTTCAGGTTGCCAAAGGGCAGGTGGTTTCAGCAGGGGCCAGCTGGCCCCTGGAATTTTCATGAGTATTTCTTTTTTTTTTTTTTTTCCTGGGCTGAGGATTCCTGGCTTGCATTTGAGAAGCATCAATGTAGGTGGTTCTTTCATCCTGCTCTGTCCATACCATACCTAGTTAGGTGGTCTGTTGATATCAGTGGTTCTCAAAACTGTAACACGCATAGGAACAACCTGGCGTTTATTAAAACACAGGGGACGGCCGGCGCCGCGGCTCACTAGGCTGATCCTCCGCCTTGCGGCGCTGGCACACCGGGTTCTAGTCCCGGTCAGGGCTCCGGATTCTGCCCTGGTTGCCCCTCTTCCAGGCCAGCTCTCTGCTGTGGCTGGGGAGTGCAGTGGAGGATGGCCCAGGTCCTTGGGCCCTGCACCCCATGGGAGACCAGGAGAAGCACCTGGATCCTGCCATCAGATCAGCGTGGTGCACCGGCCGCGGCAGCCATTGGAGGGTGAACCAACGGCAAAGGAAGACCTTTCTCTCTATCTCTCTCTCTCACTGTCCACTCTGCCTGTCAAAAAATAAAAAAATAAAAATAAAAAAAATAAAACACAGGGGACTGGGCCCCCACCTCGAGGTTGTGGCTTCAGGTAGAAGCTGATCTTTTGCATTTTTTGGGCAGTGGTTTCTTTGCATTTCTGATAGGTTCCCAGGTGATGCTGATGCTGTGGGCTGGGGAACCACACTTCAAGACCATTGGCTTCTACCAAGACCTTCTGCTGATCACAGAAGGCAGTGTGGACCCATTTGTGCTAGAGCCCCTGCCGGCCCTTGCCCCCTGGATGCTACCCCTGCTTGTCCTGTTAGCCCCCAGCAATTCGATCCTCCCTCCCCCACCCGGGCCCTCCAACCCCTGCCGCAAATCAGCTGTTCTAGGGCCTAAAAATACCTTCGCTCCCCAAGACAGCTGGGGGCTCAGGCTGCTTTCTGAGGGTAAGAATAGCTAGCGCCCGGGAGTGGCTGTCAGCCAAAGGCCCGACATCCAGTGCAGGAAGACTGGTCTCTGCTTGGCTGCCCTAACTCAGTGCTCGCAGCAGCTTTAGCTCTGAATGTTTCCAGGGACTAACGCACGCAAGGCCAGTGGGTAGGTATGCGCCTGTCTGCGATGATAAGTCACTTACCTTTTTTGGTATTGTCCTGCAGTGGATACTGGTTAAAATTACCCCAGGAAGCTTCGGCCTGGTTCCAGACACTTGGAAAACAGACGTCCCGTGCCAGCCTACGCTGATTTCAGCAGTTGTGTCTCCTCCCTGGGGCTCGCTGGTCTCTGAGGGCCCCACAGACCTGCTCTCTTGGCCCCAAGACTTCAAGGGCCCACGGCTTCCAAGGCCTTTCCGTGCGGCAAGAGTGTGGGAAGAATTGAGCTGCAGATGTGTTGCTCTCAGTGCTGGGAGACCACAGGTGTCCTGGGGCATGAGGACTGGGGCAGGGCGGGGTGGGAGTGGGGAATGTGTGAGCCCACAGCCCACTCCTGCCAGAGCGCTGGGAATGCTCACCAAGTGCTAGCCAGTGTTGAATGGTGGTACCTTTTCTTGTCTCTGGGCTGCAGGTTCCTCGTGTATACAGTGCACAAGACAGGGTTTAGGGAGCTCCAGGGCATTGTCTGGCTTCATTGCAGGGTGGAAGCTGGGCCTTCTCGGTCTCCTGGCTTAAAGGCAGGAGCAAGGAGAGTAGGACCTTGGCAGAGCGGGGGTCCACCTGGCACCCTGGCACCTCCCTTGGTTGGAATCTAGATGCACTTCTTCTTGTCCACACTCCAGAGAGAAGCTGCTTTTTTGTTTTAATTTTTCACTTTAGCTTAAGCAATTTTAATTTTTAAAAGGTTTATTTGAAAGGCAACATATTAGAGGAAGATACTGGTTCACTCTAATGGCTGCAACAATCAGGTCTGGGCCAGGCCAAAGCCAGGAGCCAGGAACTCCATCCTGGTCTCCCACATGGATGGCAAAGGCCCAAACACTTGAGCCATTAGTAGGGAGCTGGCTTAGAAGTGGAGCAGCCCATATGGGATGCTGGCATCACCACAGGCAGCTTAACCCACTGCACCACAATGCCAGCCCCACAAGAAGCAGCTCCAGCACCTAGCATGGTACCCGGGGATAGACTGGGAGTGCAGTGCTCGGTGAGGGAATGCACAGTCTGAGACCTGCCGCATGCCTCCCCTACTCCTTCCTCAGTGAGGCCCCCATTCTCCTCTCCACAGAGCTCTGATGGGTCGCCTGCTGTAGGAGGTGCCATTCCTGGGAGGGCTGCAAATGCCTGTTCTCTGCACTGAGGTCAAACGTGGCCCAGGTCCGTTTGGCAGATGGTGGTGCTCTTCTCCCAGGGGCCTGTGGGCCCCTGGGGCTTCTGTCCTGCTGGGTCTTACTTCTTTCTGGAATCTCTGTCCTTTCCTTCCGCCCACAAGGACCAAGTGAGAGCCAACCCTCAAGTCTGGGCTTGGGGACCAGGGCAGCGTGGGCAGCTTGGCTGGCCGGGTTCTGAGACCCTCAGGCCTGTCTACCCAGGTACAGGTTTCTGAAGGACACAGCCAGCTGCAGTCAGGTGTGGGCCTGGAGCCAAGGCCCCAGCCATGCACGTGTCACTGTCCCAGTTTGCATGTCTGTGTGCCTCTTCTGACAGACGCCAGAGAGGGGTGGTTGTCAGGGGAGCCTTGTGCTGTCCTTGGCCCTCTGGCACAATTCCAGTCATTTGTCAATCACACCACAACAGCTCATGCCACCTTCGTCCCAAACACAGGCTGTCATACAATGCCCCTGCACACTTGGCATGGATGTGAGGGGGACGCAACACGGGGCTCCCTCTCCACTGCCCTTTCCCAGCTCTCCGACCTTGCAGTGCAGGTGCACTTTTGATCCAGGGATACGCCCCGACTACTCTAAGCCAGTCGGCTTCATCTCATCCCTTGTGCCACCATTACTGGCTTGGTATCTATGTTCCAAGCCAATCAGCATGTGGCATGGCTTTGGTGACAGGCACAGGGTGAGGGGGGGGGGTCTCACTGGCCCGGAGCCCGGGGTGGCTACGAGAGAGCTTTTCACCTTGGGAGCTGTTGGCAGCCATGTTTGAGCATGAGAACAAGGATGGAAGAGGCGACTGCAGTGCTCTATGCCGTGGCTTTGGAAGCGTGACAACCAATGAAAACCTTTTACTGCTTATGTCCATTTGGGTTGGGTTGGGTTGTCTCAACGTGTTAGGTTCATAACTTCCATCACAGCCAACAAGTACATTAAAGACCTCATCTCTTTTGCTGCCTTTAACATCACCATGACAACCAGTCTGGGTCCCCTCCAACTAAAGAGGTTTGTCCCAGTTTTTTTTTTTTTTTTCTTAAAGGGAAACCCTTCTTTAAATGTTTGGAAAATTTTATTTGGGGCCGGTGCTGTGGTGTAGCAGGTAAAGCCGCCACCTGCAGTGCCAGCATCCCATATGGGTGCAGGTTCAAGTCCTGGCTGCTCCACTTCCAATCCAGGTCTCTGCTGTGGCCTGGGAAAGCAGTAGAAGATGGCCCAAGTCCTTGGGCCCCTGCACCTGCATGGGAGACCCAGAAGAAGCTCCTGGCTCCTGGCCTCAGATCGGCACAGCTCCTGCCATTGTGGTCAACTGGGGAGTGAACAGCGAATGGAAGACCTCTCTCTCCCTCTCTGCCTCTCCTCTCTCTGTGTAACTTTCAAATAAAATAAATCCTTTTTTTTAAAAAAGACAAGGACAGGGAGAGGGGGAAAGAGAGAGAGCAAGCGAGCGAACGAGAGTGAGCTCACATCTGCTTGTTCATTCCCCTAATGCTCCCAACAGCTGGGGCTGGGCCAGGCTGAAGCAGGAGTTGGGAACTCCACCCAGGTCTCTCATGTGGTACAGGGACTTGAGTCATCACCTGCTGCCTCCCAGGGTGTGCATTAGCAGGAAGCTGGAATCAGGAGTGAAGCCGGGACTTGGACCCAGGCACCTCGGTATGGGATGAGGGTATGACCACCCCTGAACCCACTCAGTGTTAAGGAGAAGCTGCCAACTGATGCGAGCTGTACCATGAATTTACCAGGATCCACTGTTTCCTTACTTTGGGCTTTATCTCCACCTCTGGGGCCTATTTGTGTTAGGAAAGCCATGAGGATTAGCATTGTCTGGCAGGACTGTTTCTTCCAGGCCCTTGGAGCCCGACTTAGCAAGTCTGGATGGGACTCGGGCACCTGCACCTTTATCAAGGCCCCCTCCCTTCCCAGGGGCTTCAGATGTGGTGGTGCATGGATCAGACTTGCTGGTGCCTAAAGCTCAATTCCTTCATTCTCCCCTTTTACACAAAGGAACAGGCATCAAAGAAATGGAAGGGACTTGAACTTCATTTTCTAAAATTATTTATTTCTAAAGATTTATAGAAAAAAAACAAAGCAAAGCATAATCTGCCTCTCTTTCCAAGTGCGCGTCAGAAGAGTGGGTACCAGGTTGACCTTTGAGGAATTCCACTCCAGCACCTGGTCTTCTGTTCTTCTGTGGGGGCT